TTAGATTTTCACATTCCTTTTTTGATTCTTTTCAAATTTAGAAACGTGACTGATATGCTATTGTCCAGACCAAATTTTCAAATATCATTTTCATTTCATAGAAAGGATTATAAATCATTTATTAAAAAACAGGGAAACGTTTACCGGCAAGGTTTGGTATGCATTATATATAAATTTCGTTATAATTTTCAGTACAATATACATGCCAGAAAGACAAAGGTCATAAATTACTTAAAAATGATATGTTACAATGCAGTTTACAATAGTATCACAGAGTTGGCTATATATAATTGTAAATTAAGCAAAAATAATTTAACAACAAGATCGAGAATATTTACATGCTAACATAGCAGTGACATAAGATTTAGTCACATGTGCTTAAGTTTAAAAAAAATGCAAGGTAATTCCTTAAGATATTAACTATTATCAAGATGGTTCTAAGATATTGAACAAGGTCTTTATACACAGGTAGTTTGTATGAATAGGTGGTCAGTACATACAGGTTGTCCTTGTATACAGGCAGTCGGTACACACAAGGCGCCAAGTGGTTAAAGCATCTGAGCGTCTTTATCACTAGCCCTATATCTCGGGGGTCATGGGTTCAAGACCTGCATTGGTCAGTCGCCAGGTACTGGGCACATGCGGATGGTTTCACTGAAGAGAACTTCGGCTTTCCTCCACCAGCCAAATCTGGCAGATCCTTAAATGAACCTAGCTGTACATTAAGATTTAAAGTAACAATAAACCGAACACTACACACTGGCGGCCCTTATACATAAGACATTCTGTATACACTTATGGTCCAATTCTCACAGCTTTAACACCATGTAGTCAGTCTTGTGAAATATGACTGAGGATCCTTATGCATGGGTGCTGTTAATGTATGGGTGACCCGTCATAATGGCTGATCATAAAGTACAGCTTGGTGACCATCTTCACAGACAATTAATGTACACAGAAGGTTTTGTTTTACAAAGATCACCCTTTTCCTAACGCGTCCTCTCACACATGGGACTACACACAGGTAGTCCTTACATAGAGGTAACAGTATTCAGATCATTTATCCATACAAACCTTCCTTTTCTATGAGTGGTCCTTATGTAGAGGTGATGATTATACACTAGTGGTCTTATATAGAGGTGATTTTTGTACACAGTTGGTCCTTTATTATTCCCTGGATGTCCTTATATGGAAGATGTTATATATTTGTGGTCCTTCAAGCGTGGTATATTAGGTAGGATACACTGATCCACCTCGATGACTTTTGCACCTCTCGTATATGAAGACTGCCATGACGACAAGAATCAGGAATATGTCGATGGACACTATGATGATAAGAACTGTTTCTACAGTGTTGAAAACGGCTGATTTATATACAAGCATGTAGATGAAGACGAAAGAAGCATGGGTTAAGGAATCGATCTTGTAAAAAAAGAAAAATCGTTCATAATGGGCTGCCATGTTACAATAGCAGCAGCCGTCCATACATTTAACACAACAGAAATACAGCACATAGAACACAATCCAGAACCCAAAGAGCGTCGCCAGGTAGATCGGTAAAAACACATAGACAAAGAAATCGCTTAATCCTCCAAGATTCCAGTAGATAAGGAGGAAGAGAATTTCAGCTACATCAAACAGAAACGACATGATCACCCGAATTAGGAAGTTGACAATCAGCGATTTCTTGTTGATCATTTGCATGACGCGTAACGTCAAATCTACGACAGCCACCTCGATGAAATGAGGGTGTGGTCCATCAATTTGGATGGTTTTTATGGTGAAAAAACCCATAATGATGAAGAAAACGTAGCTGTCACTTCAAAATTATTTTGTCTAGTTTTTATCAGATAATGTTGTTGGTATCGTAGAAATTTAGTATTTCAGTTGTTCCTTGTTCAGTGACTGGTGCTCTGCCACACTTCTCGATCAAAATCCTTTGAAAAGTCAAAACTTGGATTCACCGATTCAATTGATCACTTCATCCTTGTTCATTTATGCAGCTACAAATTCACCTGGGTAATTTCCTCTGACAGTGACGATCTTAAAATTATGGCTACCACTCGTTCATGTTCAGCCAAAGTTTGGTGTTGTTCGGAGCAGCTCTGTGTATTTTCCAACATAGTTACATACTGGTTGTATAGAACTCCGATCAACCTTACGAAGACAATGGAACTTCAGTTAATTAATATGTGTATTTTGTGTATTGAAATATATATACCTACCACAAGAGAGACATATATGTATAGGCTTCTACTGGTATGCGAGTAATTATGTAAACTTATACATACGTACCAGTCGTTGATTGCCAAATACACATTGATTTAGCCAAAAAAAAAAAAAAATTTTAATTCTTTTTTTTTTTTTTGGTGAATATTTCAGTTTATCAAATATTGTTTTTTGTAATGAATAATGTTGGAGAAGTGATTTTGAAATTTTCAGGTATACATTCTTGGTATCAAAATAACAAATATGTCTTATAAAGCTGACAAACATGTTAAATCTTATTTGTATAAAGATTTGTCAACTTAAGCCGATAAAAGTTGAATCATAAACATTTGATTATTGTCTTAACCTGAAAAGAAATTTATATATTGAAATATACATCTTTTAAAAATGAAGCTGTGATAATAAAGATTAAAGAGTTATTTCTGCATATTACTTAAGATTTATTTTTTTTTTTTTTATTTTGATTAATATTAAAGCTGACAGATATTGACAAAGCCTGATTCTTGTTCAGCATTTAAATGCTTATCTGGCTGCTGTCCTATTTAACTGAATAACATTGTAGTATATATATGTATACTTAAGTGTTGTCTTGTTTTAAAACTATACACTTGTGTATGAATATTGTACACCATAAATCTCAAAGAAACTTTTTGAATTACTTCCTGGTCATTTCTTTAACCAATTTTTGACAATATTTTGACAAACCCAAGATCCCCAGATCAGTTTTAAAACATATAAAACTTTAGCTTGATTCACAGAAATGTGCATGTCTTTATGTTAGATATTATGACTTTAGCTCTTCCACATCTAATGCATTTTAGTACAAAGGTTAGCAATTACCATTTGAAATCTTGCAGAGGTTAGAATATATATTGGCCCTTTTATGTGGCTTATTCAAGGACGTAATACTGTGGATTCATTTATTTTCGTTGGGTTCAATTTTCGTTGTTTCTACAAATTAGACAGTTTCGTGGACTCATAAATTCGTGGATTTTTTATTCTGTGGGAAAAAAATAAAAACGTTAGAATTTTCTCTTTTTGCTTCCAGTCGAAATTTTTTCTGTTTGTATTAAGGCTAAGACAAGAATAAAAGAACGTTTTTTTTCAAGATAGCGTCCTGTGTTTTTATAACGCTGTTTACAACAGTCTCGCATTAATATCAAACCACAAATCAGTATATATCCTGGCGTGTAATCAATCGGTAATTATCAGAAACAATTGTTTTCAGTGGATAAACATTGTGTGCTGATCAGTCGGTGTACCGCAGTCATATGAAAACACCACGCGTATCGATTGGACCATGTGTGTAAACAGGTGTGTAAACAAGATCTGCAATAATTATTGTGAACCTGTAGTCGGATAGAAATACGGATCCAATCTTCAATTGACAGGATGGTCCGATCAAGCCTAGTGTCCACAGTGTCGCTAACGACTGCGATCCCATCATACTTAGCATCACAATGGGTACTTACCCTTTGTTATGTTTAATAATATATAATTATATATCGTTGACACCAATTTAGCGTATCCATGTCGAGCCTCAGACTACCCGACTCCCGACTAATTACGGGGCTTCTGTCATTACCGGTGGACGTTTCCGGTGTCGGCAAAGATTACTTGGTCAAATTTCAAAATTACTTTAGTAAGTAGTTCATATTTCGTTGTGTTTTTAAATTCGTGGATTTGCTCATCCACGAAAACAACGAAAATTGGACCCCCACGAAATAAAATGAATCCACAGTATCATCCTTTACTCCTCATCAAGATCAAGGTCAAAGGTTATTCTCTGGTGTAATTTTAAACTTAACGAAAAGCATTGCCTCTTTTCTTTCTTTCTCCCCCTCCTTCCATTCGCACCTGAACTATTTAGTGTCTTCCAGATGAATTGTTGATGGTGCAGAGCAATAATATGAAAATGAACAAAATCTATTTAAGGGGTTAGATTTTCCGTGTTGGGCTCCACCCAAGTACAGGGTAGAGACATGTTAAGTTTGGGACTGTCAGATTGCTGAGTATCGTCTGTTGATCAGGTCATTATGTAGGTAGACTTCATGTTTTGGCAGTCTTTAACTTTATCATAGGCTGGGATTTAAAAAAATATTGATTGAAATATGGTTCACTGGGGCATATACTGTCCTTTAGTCTCCCAGGTTGTTCATTATTTCATTGAACATCAAAAAAAATCAGATTTGACCTCCAACATTGTAATTTCAATAATGTTCTGAACTCTATAATGCTTATTTTGTGAAAGGTATTTCATCTTTACATAATGCAGAATTATCTGCTCTTACCAGCGGGTATAAATTGTTGATTGTTACGTCATTGGGTCGGGTGAGAAAATTGTGTTATTTACAAACAAATATTTGTGAAATTACTCCCACAAACAAATGACAAGCAATACCTACTCACAATAGCAGATAATTCTGTATTACGAAAACAAAAATTACCATCTTTAATTGCATTTGTGATATTTTTGACAAACAGATGAAAGTTTGAATTTTTGATTAAAATTTTCTCTTGAAAACTATAATACAAAGAAAAGATAGTAAAAATTGATTTAAAATTGATTGATAAGTAAATATGACCTCTTTTTTCCTGTCTTGGAATTTTCAGAAGATTCAAAATTGTTGTTTCCTCTATAGAAACACATGTATTCTACAAAGCTAACCTACAGTCCTCCCTAACCCTGTTAATTTGTAGAAAGATTCAAAAGTGGTTATTTCAAACTATCACATACAGTGGTTTAAGAATTTTGTATTTGTTCTTTGTAGGAAGATTACCCAGAAGTCAAACCACAGGAAAGTCGATTCCTAAACTCCGGAGGTAAGAATTTCTTTATTTTTAGATGGAAGAAATCTTTTTTTAATGAAGATATATTCAACAAAGGGTGCCATACATCCTTAATATATCATAATTCCAAAGCATTCTGACACAGTTGTCCCCGTTTATCTTCATGGAATTTCTTTTGATGTCGGTATGAACAAGTATAAAATACCAATAATATTGACCCTCACTTGCAATATTAAAAATGACCTTGAACCCAAGTATGACCTTGACCATGGTAAGCTGTAAAAAAATCTTTGTACATGTATTATATCATCATGTTACACTTTCAGATTTTCCATGGTATAAAAATTCAAATAAAAATCTACGTAATTCTGATTTTTACCTCAATAGGATTCATTGGGTACGCCAAAGATATCGTGGAAATCATCAACCATAAGGCTATAGGTAATCAGGACGACGATCAACTGTATTACACAGAAATATTCTTGGACAAAGCTCTGCGAGTAAGTGATTTTGACGTGATAATGTTTGTTAAAAGTAAAAGATTATCATATCTTTTATTTGTATCTTTGTAAACGTCTGTGTTTATTCATCTGTCTTGGGTTTGAAGATCTTTCATTTTCTACATGAAATGCAAAATTTAATTTTCAACTTTTTTTTCCCAAATTCTTCTAGAATAATTTTTTTATTTTTCTCTATTTTATTTTTCAGTCTTCAAATGATTGTTTAGATTAAATATCTAGATATGAAAAGATAGGTTTTGATTATTTGTTGATAGAATATTGTCAGATTTGTGATATACTGGAAATGGGGATTTAAACAAGCTTGTTCACCTGACTGTATTGATTGTACATACCTTTGTTATCATAGTCCATAAGTTAGAAAATAGCACGACTTTCTTACTAGTAAACAATTTTGGAAAGGAATTTTTACATTCTTTTCATCAGAAGATTTTTAAAAAAAATTTTTGCATTCTTAGCTTGCTCATACAAATGGAAGTATGCTAATCAAAATGAAATACTGGTACATGTACCAGGAATGGCTACTTGGTGGCAGGTTTTTTCAAGGGATCATGTACCAAGAATGGCTACCTGGTGACAGCTTTTTTCAAGGGATCGTGTACCAAGAATGGCTACCTGGTGACGGGTGACAGCTTTTTTCAAGGGGTTGTGCATATTTGATAAGACATTTAAATATTCTGCTTTATCACTGTTTGTGGATAGAAAAGGTGCTGGGTGGGGGGGGAGTTACTGGAATTTCTGAGTTCTGAGAAATCTTTTATCAAATTGAAGTAAATTTAGGTCAACTTTAAATCAAATTTATCTGAAAGATCTGATTGTAAGCTGAGGGTGTATTGGGGGTTTGATAGGTAGATCTATATTTTGCATGCATGGAAGTAACATGCTTTGGTTGTCTATATGCGTGCAGGTATATTGAAATATTAAAGAATAGCGAGGAATAAATTATTTCGTGTTTTAAAATACAGACTTTAAACTTGTGAGGGGTTGGTGGTAAATCAGATAGATAGAGAACAAACACACAACTTTTTTATCTCCCAGGTGAAGAGTGTCACAGCAACCTCATTCTAAAACCTTTGTCATAAATTTTAATGTTTTGAATATGAAAAAACAAAATGAAGTGTTTTTGAAAGCTAAGTCAGCTGAAATAATTTGAAATGTATAATGTTTATCATAAAAATAACTTTTTCTTCTTCTTTTATAGAAAAAATGGAACTTAAAGTTGGACACTAAATCAGAAATATTTCAAAATCTCCATGGTGTTTTAGGTAAGAAGATAGTCTATAAATAGTTATTTATTTCTGCTTGTTGTACATTGTTTTTTTTTTATTTTGCTTAAGCTTGGTACAAGAATAAGCTTTCATTTCTTTGCTCTTTCTGTTTAACAATGAAAGACTTCTACCATATTTGACGTAGTCACATTTGATTTCAGAGCTCATATTCCTTGACAGATATGAAGATCTGTTTATCTTTGCTATCTCAGTATATTTTGATGATATCGATAGGATATGAATCTATCTGCAATGAGACCTGAAAATCTTGACTCCAAACGTTCTGTTGATGGCTGGAAAAGTACAGCAAAATGCTGGAATCGTGTTTGAATGCGATAAATGTGTTGTAATAACCCTGTGTCTGGCAATAAATGCACCAATGTCTATTCTGTTTGGTTAGATTTTAATAAATAGGATTTCATTATCTTTTAATAAGCCCCCCTCCCCTTGATTTTAGGTCAAAAGTTGACGATTTAGCTCCCTGGGATAAAGATGATTGTTTTAAAAACTTTGTCCTTAGAGTTTAGTAGGACCTGATAGCACAGGATTAATGTATGACTCTGATTTTCTAGTTTTGGAAATTTGCAGAAATTTGTCTTAAAAGTAATAAGGGATTAATTGAATGATGATTTAGCAGGTATCATAATTCTACACTTGAAATTTTTATGCCCCTGCCATTTATGGCCGGGGGCATATAGCGTTGCCCATGTCTGTCCGTCGCGTCCCGTTGCGTCCCGTCCCGTCCCGTCACGTCACGTCCCATCCCGTCCCGTCGCATCGCGTCCCAAATCAGTATATACCACCTAACAACTTCATTCGCAAGGCAATTTTCATGAAACTTCATACAAATATCAAGTATGGAAAGACCTCATGCAGTGTTGAATTTCTCGGCATCCTAAAAAAAGATGGCCACCAGGGGGAGATAACTCAAAAAAGAGGAACATCATCTTATTTCTACATAATTTGGTACTTGTGGGTTTTAAGGCATAAGGAACTAATATATTCCCTCATTTTTTCCAGAGAACAAAATTCCAAATTCATGTACGTTAAATCAACTTGTCAATTTAAGTATGAAACTTGAGTTGTACATAGTTGCATACAAATTAACAAAATCATCTCTTTCGGACCTTTCACTATTATTTCACATGGGGGGGGGGCAGGGGCATTCATGTCTTACAGACATTTTCTAGTTTTAATTAAAATTGATTAAAGAAAGTATCCATTTGTATTATCATTGAAATTGACACAGGCGGGAAAGATGTTAGTCCACGCGGTAAGTGTATTATAACGCATGACTGAATCGGTAGCACTATTCTATCTGATATTGTTGACGTATACCAGGGCGATATCTACGAGAATGTGTACAAATGATCAGAAATTTACCATGGATGTCACACCTTCATTCCCTCTATTTTTAGAATAACATGGTGCTTTGGTACTAACACCATTTCCTAGCAGAACACATTTTTTCTTCATTTGCAAATTTTTCTATTAACATTTGAGGTTTCGGGACTAAAATTCAGAATGTTTGGTATTGAGGATGCACTGAAAAATACTGAACACATAATTCATGTGATCTTTTCAGACTTCAAGATGATATGTTAAAACAATGACGAAATTATGTACAAATCTATTATGAACAAATTCAGATGATTTTGAAATAGAAAAAAGAATGCTTCATATTTGTTAAGTTGTGAGGTCTGTTGTTCCAATTGCGATTTATTCTTTTCCATTAAATGTAAGAAAAATGTAATAGAATTAATGCTACGATTAACAGTCTGATATAAAATTGATGTTAAGACTCACAGTCTCGTATGGAATTAAAGTCCCATATAGAATTAACATCAGGACTAACAGGCCTTGTGGGCCTTTTTGATTTGTCAGCTTTTACGAAATAATCTCAAATATCCTTAGGTAGAAAAATAGTAAAATTCCATTTCTAAATCAACTGCATGGAGGAAATACTTGCTGAACTTTTGTATCTGGAAAATGATACTAAGACTTTGTTACTATAAAGATTGTATTTCTTCTACAGGAAATGTTGACCTGAAGTTTGTAGGATCAAGGAGTTATCTGTACAATTCCAAGACTGGGACCACTCCTGTTGTTATCCACGGAAATGGTCCAATTAAGGTACTGAATTTATTTAGTACCAAACGTAGTCGAGAAATCAAAAGATTACAACAAAAATCAAAGCAGTGACTTATATAGTTAGCTTTGCAGGTGTTCTAGATAAAACAAAACATGTGTTTATAGATATTTAGTTTTTCAAAAGTATTATCTTACATATTTCCCAATTCTTTTGTAGGAGAAATAGTTTCCATTTAAAACATCAAGCCTTAGAAAAGAACATTTTCAAATCCCTATCTTCAAATGAAAATGCTTTCAGAGGATTTAATCTCCATTTTCTGGGAGACGAATTATCTTACTGTCGAACCTTGTTACCTCAAAGATTTCCCATGGTCCTGTTGAGTTCGAGATAACAAAGTACAACTGTACTTTAAAATAATAAAACAATTTCAATATGCACTGATAATTTTTTCCACAATTGTGATAAAAAATGGTTCCGCTATAAAGGATACTATCTTCGAGAGGCTCTGTTTGTTTTTTTAGAAGATAGAACTTTAAAAAAAAAAAAAAATTTTAGCTCTCAAAATGAAATAAAAGAGAAAACTGTCCATTTCTTGACGTCCCTTTTACATCAAGCTGGAAATTCAAATTAATAAAATCTATTTCATGGCTTTTTCGAAAGTATCAAGCTTCTGGTAAAATCAAAAATATAGGAAATGTCAAAAATAAACAGTGATGTTATGTGATGAGTAGTTTTGACATGATAGTGTAAGTAGGAAAAATTGCTGAGGATAATTTATAAAGGAAACCAAACACAATTTCAAATGGGGGACTTTGTTTTCATATTTAAGTGGAAATGAAGGGAGAGAAGTTATAATCAGCCCTCAACTATTTCAGCCGGAGTTTAACCGAATTGCAAACTACCTTGGTGACGGGTGGACACAGAGTATGGGCTGTCAGTCATGTCAGGAGGATTTTATCAGTCTGCGAGATGTCAAGGTACGTTTTATCGTATTTCAGCTTTAAGAAAGTTCAACAATCTTACGACAGTCATTCTGTAGCATTCTGAGATTGAAAGACATCATTTGTTTCCATGACAACTTTAGAGGTCCTTGTGATGAAAAAGCTTCCCTCCCACTTTCTTGTTTGTGTCAAATTTTATAACGGGTTATCTTGTTTATCTAAATTCACTAGTTAAATTTAACATGTTTTTATTTCAAAATATTCAATGAAAGGATTTAAAAATTGATAAGTGAAAAATATCTTCTGGATACTTGTACAATGTAGTTTTATTCAAATATGAAATTCCGTTTTGAAATATGTTTTGATTTATTTTTTCAGCCAGATGATTTTCCTACAGTACTGATGGCCGTGATGATTGAACAGCCAACGCCATTCCTTAATGAGTTTTTGGGACATATCCGAGATCAGATCTACCCTAAACAAAAGATAAGCCTTTTTGTTCACAACAAGGTAAGTCAGTTTGATTTGAATACTTAAAAATAATCACGTTCATATCATCTCCATGGAGACAAACAATTTTTTTTTTCGTTTAAATTTGTATTATTTAAGGTGTGATTTTAAACTTGGAAAACCTTTTTGTAACCTTGCATTGCAATGTGACCTTGACCTTACCTGTCTTCAGGTGAAGCTCCATGATAAGACCGTGTCAGACTTCCTGGAAACCGTGAAAGACGATTACCATTCCATCAACCACTTACGGGCTGATGACCAAGTAACCGAGATCCAGGCTCGTAACTGGGCACTGTAAGTGTATATCATACCACATCTGTCTGGTAATAAGCCCACCTATATCTATTACTATTCAATTATGTTATTTCACAGTCCTGCTATAAGCCCACCCTTTGAGAACTTGTAGGTTCTCCCCCTGGATGATTATTCAGGAGATACCCAGTGTGAATACACTGCCTTGTCTGGTAATAAGCCCACCTCTAGTGATAAGGCCTTGTCTTGTAATAAGCCCATGTCTAGTAATAAAGCCTTGTCTGGTAATAAGCCCACATCTAGTAATAAGGCCTTGTTTTTTTTTAATAAATCCATGTCTAGTGATAAGGCCTTGTCTGGTAATAAGCCCACCTCTGGTAATAAGGCCTTGTCTTGTAATAAGCCCATGTCTAGTTATAAGGCCTTGTCTGGTAATAAGCCCTCATCTAGTAATAAAGCCTTGGTCTTGTAAAAATTCCACATCAAGTAATGAGCTATTGCCTTGTAATAAGCCCATGTATAGTAATAAGCCCATGTCTTGAAATAAGCCTGTCATATCTACTATTGTTCAGTTGAATAATAAACAAATGCTGCTCATGCACTGAACTAAAGAAGGCTCATACAACGTTCAGTGATATGTATTTCTAGGGTGAAATGAAATATTTTACCATGAAATTACTTTTTTAATGTTATCTGTAATAAATCTGAATTGCTGCTTCTGTATTCTTGGTCAAAATCAAATTTAATTTTCTGTCACCATGTCAACACTGTATAGTGATACTAATTTATTCTGACAGCGAGGAATGTACGAAGAGAAAATGTCAGTATTTCTTCAACGTCGATTCCACATCCCAACTGCGTCACCATGGTGGACTTCACATCCTTATAGAGACCAACAGGTACGTAATGACAATGTCTACCATTCTTTACTGTCTGATCACGACACCAAAATGTGGCTTCAATCAGGAACAAACGACCACTACGTTCCATTTTATTTTATTTGTTTCATAAAAAAGATGATCTAATTTGCATTAGTTGTAAATTATTGGGGCAAAAAATACTGTTACTGCTTAAAGTCCACCACAATTTTCTTACACCAGCAAGGATTGAAGGAAATCACACAAAATCACCTTTACCTTAAATTTTAGATTTAGATATAAATGGTATATATACTGAACCTTGCCACTATTTAAATGAATAACAGATTGATTGAAAGATTTTCATGTAAACTGTATTCAAATAATGCTAACAAGAAAGCATATACCTTCTGTCATGTGGAGCCAAATTATGTACGTCTTAGGTGAGTTATCCCCCTTCCCCAGAATCTTTTCCATTCTTATCTGTAAGTGTGTACCTTATTGTGTTCTTTCAGTGTACATATATGACTGATTTTTCATTTGGTGTACATTACAGGACAGTACTGGCACCGATGTTGACAAGGCCATATAAACTCTGGTCAAACTGGTGGGGCGCCCTCAACAAAAACGGATTCTACGCCCGTTCGGACGATTACATGGATATTGTACAGAATAACAAGATGTAAGCAAAACAATTCTTAATAATATTTGAAACATTATCAGCATTTAATAACGCTATTTCTGGAGAAACTTTTGACTTAAAATTTGTTAAAATGTGAAAAAAAATTATTTTTGAATTTATGAGAAAGAATCGTTAATCTCAGCCAAATTACATAGTTATATACAAAAGGCTAAATATAGTATTGCTAGATCAATTAAGTAAGCTATATTTTTATTGGCTTTGAGTAAGAATATGTCGTCTTTTATCTACAAGTACGTGGTCTTTCTCAGGAAAAAAATTGAGGTACAAAAGGAGCAGGTACACTTTGCAGAAGTCATGACTCGTATTGATAGAAAAATTTCTTTAATTTGTAAGAAGTTATAAGTAATATTTTTGTTTATTTCCAGGGGTTTATGGAATGTTCCGTTTATCACTGGTACATATCTCGTTCACGGATCTTTAGTCCCATCCTTACATGGAGCCTACACCAATCCTGACCTTGACCCAGATATGGCTTTTTGCAAGGTCATCCGTGATAAGGTGAGAATTAGCTGTTCTGCAAATAACTCTCCATACTTACCATTATCAATAGTTATCAAACATTATTTCTTTATTATTAATATGTCTTCTAGTGAGTTAATACATAATTAGAACTTCCCACAGATTTCCCATAATTGTCCTATTTTAAGGCTATAACCAAATTTGAGTCCTGGGTTTGGGGATTGTCATGGGAACAGGATGGTAAAACCAGACTGTATCGACCTCTGACATCACTGACATCCTGTCACATCGAACATTGTATTGTTGTCCCCGATGTTGGTGGATTAGTGTTTTACCATAAAATGATAAATGCGGTAAAAAAATTTTTTGTTGTTGTTGAATGAGATGTAACAATTGACATGCGTTCAATACCTATTTTAAGAATTATTTTGTTTTAGGGTATTTTCCTGTATGTATCCAACATGTTTATGTACGGGCACCAGACAGATCCTGATAACTATGAGACAACACACAAAAATAACGACATGTTTGATATCTTCAACAATCCTTGGGTAAGTGTGTCCTCTAAAGGTCATTTGCTATATACTACAATATTTTATTTGATAACGTATATGCTTCTAACACTTGTGGACATGACCTGTATAGAAAGAGTAGAAATATGTTTATACATTGGAAATGAATTGTAAATTTTTAAATCCTGATTGAAAAATTCCGAATGATTCATCATATCAGATGTAGCCTGATATAGTGGTATGTATTTTATAGTTCTCTTCCGTTTGTTTGATGATGAATGTGACATTATGTTTTAGGACTGGGAGTTGAAATATATAAATAAGAATTATTCGATGAGTCTAGATCCTAACTACACACTTCCCCAGGTGAGTACTGTTATCCTGTAGCTTTTTATAATATTCATTATTTATTGCACACACAAGTACAGGAGACAACACTGTAGTGTACATATAGGTAAGGGAGATAACTCTTTCTGTTATCCTGAACGGGTAGATCTACTCTTTTTACAGCTGTCAGATTTCCTTGTCTCACCTTAGAGTTGAGACAGGGGGATTCCCTGTCAGGACAATTCACTAACATCACATTTATAATTAAATCACATCAACGTTGCAATGCATTGGGACAGCAAAAACAAATATATATATATTTAAACAAATAAAGCCTGTAGGGTAAGGGGAAAAGTAATCATTCGCCTCCTTGTTTGTTGAATAGTGTGATCTCAACTCTTGGGAAATGATATTATAGTTGCAAATACTGGGCAAGCCTCGTGTTTGCAATCTTAATCATCTTTGAAATTCACCTTTCTCGCCTCCAAGTTGGTGAAAGATTATGTCAATCTACATACATAACTTTGGGAGATTATTCTATTCTACATGTGTGGATATAGGAGACAACTCTATCCTGCATGTATGCAGATATATATATGGGAGATAACTCTGTCTCCATACATAGGTATGGAACATTATCTACATATATAGGTATGGGAGATAACTCTGTCTCCATACATAGGTATGGAACATTATCTACATATATAGGTATGGGAGATAACTCTTGTCAACATACATAGGTACGGAACATTATCTACAGATATAGGTATGGGAGATAACTCTGTCTACATACATAGGTATGGAACATTATCTACAGATATAGGTATGGGAGATAACTCTGTCTACATACATAGGTATGGAACATTATCTAAAGATATAGGTATGGGAGATAACTCTGTCTACATACATAGGTATGGAACATTATCTACAGATATAGGTATGGGAGATAACATATATATGGTTATCTACAGATATAGGTATGGAGATAACTCTGTCTACATACATAGGTATGGAACATTATCTACAGATATAGGTATGGGAGATAACTCTGTCTACATACATAGGTATGGAACATTATCTACAGATATAGGTATGGGAGATAACTCTGTCTACATACATAGGTATGGAACATTATCTACAGATATAGGTATGGGAGATAACTCTGTCTACATACATAGGTATGGAACATTATCTAGGTATGGGAGATAACTCTGTCTACATACATAGGTATGGAACATTATCTACAGATATAGGTATGGGAGATAACTCTGTCTACATACATAGGTATGGAACATTATCTACAGATATAGGTATGGGAGATAACTCTGTCTACATACATAGGTATGGAACATTATCTACAGATATAGGTATGGGAGATAACTCTGTCTACATACATAGGTATGGAACATTATCTACAGATATAGGTAAGGGAGATAACTTATCTATAAATATAGATATACTTCCCATACCTGTTTTCCTACATGCACAGATAATAATGTAGTGAATTCTTTAATTATACATCCATGTATGAAAATAATTATAAACTTCAAAAACAAGTAAGCTATATGCTTATGTAAATCAATGCTTTGCTAATGGAGATGAAAAGTGATTCTTGAATAAAAGTGAAAAATATGTTATTGTCTGTTGCCATGTCCTGATGTGTGGGAGATAACTCTGAATTAAATAATATCTTTTGACTTATCTGATATAACTATTATTGTATGTTGCCTTTCCCAGATGTATGGGAGATAACTCTGTATTAAATAATATCTGTTGACTTATCTGATATAACTGTTATTATCTGTTGCCTTTCCCAGATGTATGGGAGATAACTCTGAATTAAATAATATCTTTTGACTTATCTGATATAACTGTTATTATCTGTTGCCTTTCCCAGATGTATGGGAGATAACTCTGAATTAAATAATATCTTTTGACTTATCTGATATAACTGTTATTATCTGTTGCCTTTCCCAGATGTATGGGAGATAACTCTGAATTAAATAATATCTTTTGACTTATCTGATATAACTGTTATTATCTGTTGCCTTTCCCAGATGTTTGGGAGATAACTCTGAATTAAATAATGTCTTTTGACTTATCTCTATAACTTTGTTATTTACCTTTCCTCCTGTATGGGAGATAACTCTGAATTAAATAATATCTTTTGACTTCCTCTATAACTTTGTTTTTACTACTGTCCTGGGGCCTTTCCCTACCTAAGGTGAGATAACTCTGAATTCCTCTCTACCCTTTGTTTTTACTACTCCTCCTGGGGCCCTACTTTAGTACCCTACCTAAGGTGAGATAACTCTGAATTCCTCTCTACCCTTTGTTTTTACTACTCCTCCTGGGGCCCTACTTAATACCCTACCTAAGGTGAGATAACTCTGAATTAAATCTATCTTTTGTTTTTCTACTATAACTGTTATTATCTGTTGCCTTACCCTACCTAAGGTGAGATAACTCTGAATTCCTCTCTACCCTTTGTTTTTACTACTCCTCCTGGGGCCCTACTTTAGTACCCTACCTAAGGTGAGATAACTCTGAATTCCTCTCTACCCTTTGTTTTTACTACTACTCCTGGGGCCCTACTTTAGTACCCTACCTAAGGTGAGATAACTCTGAATTCCTCTCTACCCTTTACTTTCCTCCTGGGGCCCTATAACTACCCTATAAGGTGAGATAACTTTGAATTCCTCTCTACCCTTTGTTTTTACTACTCCTCCTGGGGCCCTACTTTAGTACCCTACCTAAGGTGAGATAACTCTGAATTCCTCTCTACCCTTTGTTTTTACTACTACTCCTGGGGCCTACTTCCCTATGTAAGGTGAGATAACTCTGAATTAAATAATTTCTTTTTACTACTATCCTGGGGCCCTATGTCCTGGGGCCTTTCCCAATGAGATAACTCTGAATTCCTCTCTATCTTTTGTTTTTATACTGTTCCTGTTGCCTTTCCCCCTATGTAAGGTGAGATAACTCTGAATTAAATCTACCTTTTGTTTCTTATAACTATTATTGTATGTTGCCTTTACCCTACCTATGGTGAGATAACTCTGAATTAAATCTATCTTTGTTTTTATAACTATTATCCTGGGGCCTTTCCCAGATGTATGGGAGATAACTCCTTAAATAATATCTTTTGACTAAGATGAATAACTTTCTGAATTATGGGAGATAACTCTGAATTAAATAATTTTTTGTTTTTACTACTGATCCTGTTATTATCTGTTGTACTTTACCCAGGTGAGATAACTCTGAATTAAATAATATCTTTTGTTATTATCCTGGGCCTTTCCCAGATGTATGGGAGATAACTCTGAATTAAATAATATCTTTTGACTTATCTGATATAACTATTATTGTATGTTGCCTTTCCCAGATGTATGGGAGATAACTCTGTATTAAATAATATCTTTTGACTAATCTTATATTACATTGTCTGTAGCCATGCCCGGATGTTTTCTGGTTCCCTATCGTCACTGATGCTTTTTGTGATGAACTCATCTCAGAGATGGAAAATCATGGTGGTTGGTCTGGAGGACGCGACAGTCACAAGGTCAGTATCAAAGTCAGTCTGTTTCTGATGACTGATCAATGTGTTTTAAGTTTAGTTGTTTATTTCCATTTCACTGAAGGTCAAATAGATAGAGGTCATCGTCAGTTCTGATTTTCATTTTACTTCGATTGATTCTGAAAATCTAGGGAAAGCTGAAATATCCAGTGTATTATTCTACTACTTGTATTGGGCGTATTTTCAAGATCCTTCCTCTGTAGAATTTTTTGTGCTGGGTGTTAGGTGTAGTGGTTCGGGTCTAGCGGAGATGGAGGGTTTCTTCTATTTTCGTTGCTAAATATATATATAAGATATCAAAACTAAGCTGTGATATTTACATGTTGCAACTGATAACATTAATCTGTCACTTATGAATGCCTTTGGAGAATGAAAATCAGTTTGAGAAGGGGGGATAACTCCAATATGATCAAATTGAATTGAACTCTGACCTCATATATTTGTTGTTCTACATGTCTAGTCCGTTATTGATCAAATCTGTTTCAATTCCTGATATTTTTCCTTGTTTTTCTATTACCGTTTCATATTTAGCTAATATTTTCATTACTCCCGCGAAAAAAAATCGTCTTCTGCTTTTCGTTTCAGTTTTTGTTAAGCTATAAAAGGCTTTGAAATACCAAAATTCTTCATTATTTTCTTAAAATGATTTTAAAATGAAATAAATACTGAAACTCGCTGTAATTTGTCCTGAAATCCTATTGATATAATACCAATAGAATACTCGGAAATGTTGGCGATTTTTTTAACTTCCCATAAGTTGTTTGTATATGCTCATTATTGCCTTAAAAGTTCATAAACCATCTATTTTAGGTTTATCATCAAACTTTTACCCGATTTTAAAATTTCGCCTTTTGCTGAAATGGGCAAACGGGACGAAATTAACTATGGAAAACATGTCCATGTATTAACATTACTAAATATTAAAATGATTTTGCAACAGTTACAAACAGTGAATAGAAACGTGTCACTTTTTGAAGGGAATACAAATGTTCCATTCTACAGTACAACTATGTTGAACTTGTCTTTCAGGATGAGAGATTAGCCACAGGCTACGAGAATGTACCTACAGTCGACATCCATATGAATCAGATTGGATTCGAGAGACAATGGCTGCATTTCCTGAAGATCTACGTATCAAGACTACAACAGCGGGCTTATGAGGGATACTTCCATGATGTAAGAGTTAAGGCTTAAAATTAAGACTTCTCTTATTGAAAGAGAGAAGTTTGCAAAATTTTTAAACGGACACAAAATTGAATTAAATCATCAATTATATTTGGTAAAATTCATAACCAATTCTCTACCACCTTCTCAAGCTGTCTGTAAAGGATGCTTATTTTCAGAATATATACTTTGATTTTTGACAGCCTCCACATGCTATCATGAACTTTGTGGTACGTTACCGACCAGATGAACAGCCTTTCCTAAAACCTCACCACGATTCATCAACCTTTACGATTAACATCGCCCTAAACACACCGAACGTAGACTTCGAGGTGAGTTGTTTGAATTAAAGCTGCAGCATATGATTTCTTCGTTACGTTTTAATCAGAATGTTGACGATAGACTTTGCTGAAATTTAGAATCATTAATTTTTGAGAGAGGTTTATTTCCGTTGATTACACAGTCACTTGAAATACACAAATTCTTATGTCTACGAACTGTTGTAGATTAATTGATCTATATTTGTCCACGAAAATAAGTGTCCACAAAAAAAGAGAAAGTGAAGAAGAACCATGAAAATAGAAAAAAATACATGATATAGTAGTATTTGGCCTGTTTTATGTGCACTCACATTTGAAGCATAATTTGGTATTTTATCATTAAATATTTTAGAAAATGTAATAAATTCTTTATTAATATCATTCTGTTCTATATGTCCTAAGGATATACACATGTCACACATGTAGGTTCGTGTCTAGTTGACGATCCTATGGTCATAACCTATTTAGCCTTTGGTCATTATATGTCAAATTTACCTGGTGACCTGGCTAAGGATATACACATCACACATGTAGGTTTGAGTCTAGTTGACGATCCTATGGTCATTACCTATTTAGCCTTTGGTCATTAGATGTCAAATTTACCTGGTTACCTGGATACTAAATATGTAATCCTTATATTAGTATATCCAACATGTTGGCGTAGTGCATGTAATTTCTTATATAATGTAACATTTATTTTCCTTGTCCATCTCTATAAAAGCTGGTAAGAAATTGTATTAAACAGTCCATACTTGGGGTTGTCTACTCAACAGTCACCCAGGAGGGGCTGGACCGTGAGGTTCAGTCCCTAGAACTACATCACAATAAAATACAACAAAACTTTTAAAATACCACAAGAAATGTTTCGTTATACATTCACCATATTAAATGAGGGTGTCCATCAGACCATATATGGTACGTTCTAAGTCTCAGAGAATAAGGTTCTTGAAAGCTTCGTTTACTTCACATCTAGGTCATGGACAATAGTACCACTGTTACTACATGTATCATTAGAAATCATTCTTATATTCTTTACGTAATTATACTGTGTACTTGTGGAAACATTTTAATCTTTTTTCTCACAGGGACCAGTATATATCTGGTATACATTCATTAAAACAGAGTCCTGTGATATCACATTGTGTGGATAGATTTGAAGTTATGTTTCTACCCACAGGGGCAATATATATCTATTGTATATATATATATAGAATCAGGGTCTTGTAATTTGTAACATATTTTTTCTCTGTCTGTACAGGGAGGTGGCTGTAGATTTATACGTTACAACTGCAGCGTTCAGTCCACAAGAAAAGGCTGGATGTTGATGCACCCAGGGCGACTGACACATTACCACGAAGGACTTTATACAACTAAGGGCACACGTTATATTATGGTGTCATTCATAGACCCATAAACATCACATCTTGGTCTTATTCATAATGGTCTCATTATTCCATAAACAACATTTTGTCTTGGTCTAATAATAAGAAGACTGCAACATCTCATATTTTTCATGGTTCATAGACCAATAAATACTATGCTACAAACATGGTGTCATTCATACACCCATAAACGTCATGTTTCATTTATAGATCCGGAAATAGCGCCTCAAATGTACTACAAACATCACCTCATGAACTACGTGGTCTAACAGGTTGCATTATGATCTTGTTTGAAGACCTATGGATACTGCTTCATAAAGTTTTATTCATAGGCCTATAAATACCTCTTCATATAAGGTTTTATTTATAAACCAATAATAACACCACATGTTTTTACATGTATGTGATCGGATTCTCAAAACGTATTAATTAAACTGTTATCAACAATGTATCTGTCTTTAATTTTGATAATCGGGCCAGAAATAAATTCAATGTTTAACTTTTTCTGTCCATCAAACATTGTTGTTTAGTTTGTTTATGAATAAAACTTTCTCTGTTTATAAAGACTTGCATATGAGTATGCATCTCTTTGTTAATTATACTATAATTGCTGAATTTTTTAAAAGATTTCTTCTATTAAAGTTTTTTTTTACAGATTACCACATGTTAAAAACAAAACATATCAAATTATTTGAAAGTCACAATTCTAACGATGTTTTTGAATTTTATCAATGACATTGGAAAATTTTTGCACATTTATTTCACTAACAGATTGGTTGCTCATTATCATGGGTGTTAAATTCACATCTCACCTAGAATATTCTGCCAATAGTTGTAAGATTAGATATTTACTTGTCTTATTAGTATTATATACTTATATGACTTATTGCAATTATGCCTTAAAACGTCTCTAAGACCAACTTGCAGTATTGTGCTTGCAATTTTGTATCGGTGTAACAGCAAATTCTTCCCCAGACTTTAAGTTCCCTCCAAGGAAGAAATATGGTATCTGATTTTTCATTATGTTATTTTGAGATGAAGGAGAGATATGGTTTCTACATCGAGCTTGTGAAGCTATTTGATATTTAAAATAACTTAAATTTTTTTCTTTTAGAAGTGTTAAAGTCATTCTGTAGTTTTGTACCCTAAAGATGAAATTGTATATCCTATCATGTTGCAGAGTTGAAACTCCTTTTTTTCACCATGTCAAAAATGTTTTTATTATGAGAATTGTGGCCAACTTGTATAAAGAGGAAGTCATGATTTACAATTTATGTAATTAAATCTAAATATTTTATACTTTTTTCTTTTTCTTTTTATTTGAAATTTTGCAATTTATTTACTAGTAATGATTTTTGTCAAATAATTTTTTTGAGACATATTACTGGTTAAGTTTGAGAAAGACATCCTAAGGATACCAAAATTAAATATTTGTGATAGAAAATAATGTGAAATTTATATACTAAATGATAGCTGGTTCTAATTATTGTAATGTCTAATGGTGGAATCATTCATCCTTTCGTGGGTGTGGTAGGGTGATCTTAATCTGAGTGACAAAATTATTAAGTTGACAAGCAAAAGGTTTGCCAACTGTTTGTGAACTAAATAATCTTTCCTCTAGGGATTTAGATCACCCAATCTCGGTCCCCTAAAGGACAATATTTCTTTTACTTTTCTTGGATACTTTACATGTAATATTGGTATCTCAATGCTTGCCATTATTGATGTTATCTCGGTTACTGTGACATCACACCAATGTCTGTTCGGGGAGTTCCTCCGTCTCTCTCTCTAGGAGGTGACAAGGAAATGTGTGGATAGACCTGCCCAGGTTTAGGGAATATGAAAAACTACCTCTAGTATTCCTAATACTGAACAGTACCTGTAATAGCTGTATTCTGTATGTAATTAGTGTGATTCATTTCCATATTTTCAGAAAGTTATCTTATTTATAGTTTACAAGTCTTTGTGATGTGTATGCATGTTTGTACAGATGCACACTAAGCACACACATTCATGTATTAACATATTTTATCTGGAATAAGCCCAGGTGCAGATATGAAAATCTCAGCTGATTTGCTGATTCTAGCCTTTTTGACTTGGAAAATAGATAACTCTATATGTAGTTTCCACTAAAAAGTAAATATAATTCAGGATTTTTTTTAAGATTTTCTGTTTTCATAGCTGAAGGTTCACAATATGTTACCCATGACTCCGAATCAGAAGGTAGTACCCGACTATCATACAGTTATTGACTTACTGTAGGTTGATACGAGGATTTATCGACCTGAGAAAGATGATATTCTCCGAGGCCGAAGGTCAACAAATCCTCGTGTTAACCAGAAGAAAAATGTCTGTAATTGTTTCGTTATATAACAAAATATTTATGATACAAGTTTGAAAAAAAAAAAGACAAAAATTTCCAAGAATTTTACCAGAGCAAGAGAAGGGTGTTAAATTCTGTGGACATGTAATCATCCTCCTCAGACGCTGAAACAAATTTGCTTTCTTTACGACTCCAGCTCTGGTCGTCTGCCATGTTTGTAAACAGATAATGCTGCCTTCTCATTGGTCGAAAGTACTTTGCATCATGGAAATTCCCTATTACTAATTTTAGACTAGGTGGTCAACTTGTGGTGTTAGGTGTAGGAATTTGCTGATTTTAGGTTAACATTGCATTTTGTCAAAACCTGTAGGAGACCTTTTAGCCAATCAGAGGAGAGGGATTTAGAGAAGAAATAGATATGGTTTGGCTTATTGTAGGATAAAAATATGATACACCCAATACGCACATTTTTGTGTGTCTGGTAACTGTATTAAACTTGTACTTATGTATGCTTGATGTACGGAGATATATTTTATCTTTGGGATCTCTAACCAGTGCGCCATGCATATACACTGCTTACAGTTGTAAATTTTTCACTGCCATGTAGATGTATAAAGATTTTTGTATCTATAAATGCTACTTACTTTCATCTCTGCCGTCCATAAATATCTACCTGTTGTATCGCAATTAAAATCAGAATATATTTCGTGATCAGCCCACCGTCTTCAGATCAATGTTACTGTGTGTGCAGGTGATCGTGCTGGTGACCTCGCTGGTGACCTTGTACTACAGATGATTAAGAAATTGTATTTTGATATGTGAATTTAAAATTGGTGTTGAACACTTTAATGAAATACTCTGTGTGAAGTGACCGACCCCATTTATCACAGGCTGAACTTTGCTTGCTCTGTACACTTAACTTTGCAGTCAGTGGCCAAGAGAATTTCCCAAATTAATAATCAAATCAATTAATAAATATTTCATAAGTTTTTTTAAACATTTTCATGAATGTGTTAATATCATTTGTGGTATCTCTAAAATAAAAAATAAAATACAACTTGCTGAATTTTTCACACCATGAATTCAAATGTATTGGTTTTGAACATTACAAATTAAATTCATCACATTTCATTAAGTTTAAACAGTATTTTATTCACTATTCAAAAATATTACACATACATTATTAATTTCTTTCCCAAATTTGATTTTTTTCATCCTCATCAGCTAAAATGATGTATGGTAATAATTTTGATATTCATAGATTACTGTATTTATCTTTGGTTGGCAAATTTCCTGAAATGTGTGTTGTCTTCCTTTCTGTTTTTCAACGTATCTGTCATGATCAATCGAGCAGATTTTAATTTTAGATGTGTGAAACACTTAGTGATAACATTTTCAAATTACAAAGTTTGAAAACTTGATTGTCGCCACCAAGTGATGTGTAATAAAATGTTTTGTAAATTAATATTTGCGCTAACAATCAAATAACATTTCATTTTTCATACCAGGGTAATTATCTTAGTCCAAATGGTTTGTGGGAAGGGGAGATAATCTGGGAATTCTAGTAGGCTTTTTACAAGAAAAATTAAATACGAGTTAAGCCGGAGAAAATTCTTTCGTTAACTAAGCAAACAAAATTTTTTTTTTTTCAGAAAATTGTAGCCTTTGCACATCAAAGATGGCTGCCACAGCCTCAGATTTGTGGAATTTCATACAGATAGTCTGTTGATAATAAAGAAAATAATATCGAACGCTCAAAACATAGAAAATACAATGGAGTTCCAGGCAGGATATACAATAGATTCAGCATAGATCATTACAAGGGAAACCTTACAGAAAAACTCAACACTTGGAACAGCTTTATTTCTAGATGTTTTGGCTGCTATGTAACCATCATCAGGATTTCATGGCACCCAAAACCACTGTCCCAGAAGTGTTGTGTTTCTCTTTTTGTAAGTTGGTCACTAATTCCTTAGTCAGTTACTGTAGGAGTAGGTAGGGTCCTTTATATGGTCCCATTTGGTCGATATTGTTTTCTAAATTCCCACAAAAGTATTAAAGCATGTCTATGATATATATATGTGTGTGTATATTTCGTTACAATTTCACTGTGTATGTTAAACAGTTTAATTTTCACATAGTTTTGTTGCACTTGGTTTACTTATATAATGCCATAAGGTGTGTGTCATTTATGACTGTATGATTGCCAATGCTGCTGATATTATAATTGCTGTTTTGAATGATTTAGAATTGATAATATTGATCATCATTGTAATAGTGTATATTATGGTAATATGCAGATCAGAGTGATAACTATTACGAGATATAACCAGAAAATCATCATAGTCTTTCATTCTATGTTTTTTAAGGCTGATTATAAAGTTTAATTATAAAGTTGGATTGAAATCTTGTCAAACGTGACACTAAATGTATTCTAACCACCTGTTCACCCCACTACTCCCTTGTATTTTGTCACTTTTTACAATATGAACTCGGGTTTTCTAAATACTATCCTTTCGGACACCTAATTTTTCTGAAATCCTGTCAGATCTGATTCATGAAAATTCTTGCTTCTTGTAACATTTAAGTTCAATGCTTTCAAACATTCTGTTTCCATCCCAGAGTTATCTGACATCCTGCCTTATTTGGCAGTAAATGATATAAAACACAGGATCTCAAACAGGTCTCAATGTTTTGTGATATTGAAAAACATAATTCTTTTTATTTTGTGCTGTTATTGTATATTCATAAACCTAACCATGTTCTCCTAAAGCTTGCTGATTATTCATTGCTGAGATTTCTCCATAAAAAATGTCATTTTTAACAAAAGATTAACAGGGTGTAATTGTAGTTGCAATATTCATAGTATAGCTGTAATTCATAGTTAACATTTGTGAATAGATTTTAGATTTGTGATTGAATCTGCTAATAATGAAAAGAAAATTTGAAAGGTTATTGTAGTTAAACAGTTTTACGACAGAATCTCCTCATTCTGAAAAAAAAATCTCATTAAAATTGTGATTAAAAAGTTTCTAATTGAATCTCCCAATTTGAAAAAATTAATTTTCTAAATAAGAGGGAAGACATTCAGGAAATTTAATGTTGTTGATTTTCTTGAGAATGTTGTTGATGATTTCTTTCACTTATTAATGACTGAAAGATGAAAATTCAATTTTCCCTTGAGGAGTTTGTTCACTGGAATATGATTTTTGAAGGGGAAAAAAGTCATGGCTTCCCAATAACAGCTTCTGTATATCATATTATAGATGCTTCAATGCAAATT